GGGAAAGAGACAAAGAGTGAGGGTTGGTTTAAAAGACACATGATGAAATTAATAGTGAAGGATGAATCGATTCTGATTGGGTTGGCCACCTTGCTATATTTGGAGGATTTATATCTTAATTTTGTGGAATTGTGTTTCAATTTATTTTCATGAACAAGTAATATTTTCCCTTTTACACCTATACGAAGGATTGAAAAATGAACAGTTTAGAACGTATTCGTGGCGCCTAATAACTAATATTCTCTTGCAGGACATTAAGATGGCTGATGGATGAAGAAGAAAAAGTGAAAGGAGACTACCGCACAAAAATCCAGTTTCTGATAGTTGAAATGTCACGTAAGTGTCTCTATTATAACTTATAATATTCCTGGAGTAAAACCTTCATTTTCAGGTTGTTATTTTTTATTTACAATTTTTGTGCTTATGATGTTATGCAGCTGTTACTGACATCGACACAAGTGGCATCCAAGCCTTTGAAGAGTTACACAGAAGTCTTGAGAAGAAGGGTGTTGAGGTAACTATATAACCTATGCCTGCTAAGATCCATATACATATATATGCATGACTGATTAGAAAACAAGATAATATTATGTAACTAGCTAGGATCTTACCTTAACTTCTTGCTTTTTTTGAAGCTTGTTCTTGCAAATCCTGGTCCAGCAGTGACAGACAAGCTTTATGCATCCAAATTTGCGAACAGAATTGGCGAGGACAAGATCTTCCTAACTGTTGCAGAGGCCGTTGCATACTGTTCTCCAAAGGTGGTTGAGGACCCTTGATAAATTCTATGAATTTCGGAGAAAAATGTTGTGGGAGTAGAGACCAACGACTTTGGGCTTTGTAGTAGTTATCTAGTCGAGGATATGAAGGATGAGATGAGATGAGATTGTCGCTACAAAAAGCTAGTAGAAGTGGTCTATCTGATACTTGTGTCATACTGCTACAGCAACTTAGTGCGCTAGCTCGGGATCCTTATCCTAAAGTGGGAAAAATAAAAAATAATTAAACAAAAAGGATTTGTGTATATTATAAATCTTTGTCACATGAGATAAAAGAAGAAAAACAATATAGGTACATGGTAAGATGTAATTTTATAGGAAGAGAAGGATATAGAGATAAACACCAAGTGGCATTGTGGTGTTTGGAGTAGACATGTGTTGTTATTCGAAAATAAAAGAGACAAAATTAAGGTGCACCGGTTGTGCACTTCGATAAGCATTAACTCGTTCTCTTGTTTTATTTGAATGTCCATAAAATCTAACTCGGGTGTCTGTATGAAGAATGGTCTCTCCTTTTCACAAGGGTTCCCTCTCATTGAGTCAAAGTTGTTCCCTATATAGAGTTAAAAATAAAAGGATAAAAAGAGCAAAAAATTGTGTATATTTTTGTCTTCTTGATCTTCCACGATTTAGTGTTTGCAAGTCTCGATGTAATTTAGTTTTGAGCTTTGAATGAAAATAGTTGAAAACAAGACTAATGCAGCAGGTGGACTTTTACAGATGTTGTCTTGGCTCTTGCATGAACCAAGAGGCAAAACAAAGCCAGATTCATACAAACAGACTTAGTAAAAAAGTTGAAAAAATTTTCAAACGTCAGATTCGATAATAAAAAAGTGCAACCTTTAACAATGGGCTAAATTAGGTATACTTATTTTAGTGTGTATCTTACGTACTTACGAGACAAATATTTTTTTATATAATTTAAATTTGTTATAAATAAGTATTTTTAAATATATAATTTTTTAAAATTTAAATATATATTTTTAATTCTTTAAATTTAAAATTGATATTTTTAGACTTTATAATTTTGTTAAATAATATCATATAAAATTTACTTATTAATGTCTTTATTATTGAAAATATAACAGTCTATATATATATATATATAAATAAAGTGCTAGATAGTTAACTACTGTCCTTGAATTAATCTCCTAATGATTGAGTTTGAAAATATTGGGTGACACTATTGTTCTTTCTTTGACATTGACTTTATGTTGGGAACTCAGATGGAATAACTGCGTAATCAGGCCATGTGAAAGCTGGAATATTGCAATCCAACTTGTCAATAAAACATGCGTCGTTAAAGAGGAAAACGAATGGCTCATTGAGTTCAAAAGTGCAAACAAGAATGTCTTGTGTCAAATATATTATAATAAGGTTGAAATTTCACTTCCTTCACTGTGAAGGCCTTGATGGGCCAAAGCCCATTAGTGGTTAGAGGAAGATAAGATTGAGAATGGGCCTGAGGCTCCGTTTATACTTTTTAGAATATAGATAGACAAAGAGTAGCCTCAGCCAAACAGAAAGTGGAGTTCAATGGCTGCTTTCCGCGCCGTGCTTCGTCACATACACATAAACGCCAACAACTGCTTCGCTCCACCGTCGAGTTTAGGTGCCACGTGGCAGTTTCTTATTCCCGCTAAACCCTCCAGAACAGTTAAATCCCGTGCTGGTTTAGACAACTACAAATTAGTGGTGAATAAAGACGAGCGTTTGGAGTGTGTCGACCAAATTGGGAGTGGCAGCGCCACCACGATTGCGGCCATCGTAACGTCCGTTGGAGGCCCCCCCGCCGCCGTTGGAATCGTTCGACTTTCGGGCCCTGCCGCAGTGTCTATTGCGGGCCGAGGGTTCAGGCCCACCAGGAAGACGTGGCGGCCCACCAGCCACGTCGTGGAATACGGCGTCGTGTTGGACTCCGAGGGAAATGTGATCGACGAGGTCCTTGCGGTGCCGATGCTTGCGCCGAGGTCGTACACTCGCGAAGACGTGGTTGAGCTTCAGTGCCACGGCAGTGAAGTGTGTCTGCGTCGCGTGCTGAGGAAGTGTTTGGAAGCCGGAGCAACGCTTGCTCAACCAGGTGCGTCTGCGTCCCTCTCAGTAAACCTAATTCTACAAATGCCAATTACTTTGGTCCTTAATTAGTGCTTTTTGTTTTCTTCTTTCAGGCGAGTTCACTCTTCGCGCATTTCTTAACGGTCGTTTAGATCTCTCACAAGCCGAAAATGTTGCGAGATTAATCGCAGCTAAATCCGTGGCGGCTGCAGATGCTGCACTGGCTGGAATTCAGGCATATGTCTAATTCAATTTTGTTTCCATTTTCTACTGCATCATCATGTTCAACTTCGGGGTGTTTGATGTAATGCTTGGCTTATTGGTTGCTTCATATGAGAACAGGGTGGTTTCTCATCTCTTGTTGGATCATTGAGGAGTCGGTGCATTGAGTTGCTCACTGAGATTGAAGCTCGTTTGGATTTTGATGATGAGATGCCACCTCTGGATTTGAATTTGATTATGGATAAAATCAATAACATGTCACGAGATGTTGAAAGTGCATTGGAGACGGCAAATTATGACAAGCTTCTGCAATCTGGATTGCAGGTATGCTTTGGAACCCTCTGTTCTATGTGAATTTCTTGATGATTGTTTTTTGTTTTGCCCTAACTATCATAAATATCGATGTAATTCTTTCAGATTGCAATTGTTGGCCGCCCAAACGTTGGCAAGTCAAGCCTTCTTAATGCATGGAGCAAAGTATGTTACAGTCATTTTATTTGTTCAATAACTAGCAGGGAAAGCCTCGTGAAAAAAAATAAATAATTTTTAAAAAAAATAATAAGTGGGAAGTTATTTATTTTTAAAAGGTAGTTATTTTTTTGTATATACATTTATTTTCTATTTTATCCTTAAATATATATTAGTGGAAAAAAGTTAGAATACAATATAAGGGGTATAATTGTCTTTGAAAAAGGGGACACTAAAAAAGATATAATTGTTTTAGATGTTATAGATTATAGATTTAATTTGATATTTTTTTTTATTTATCAAATCTTTTATGTAGATATTAACCTTTTTTGTTGGCCAATTGAAACCAATCACATAATTATTTTTATACTTAATTGGCTTCTCGAGTCCATAATTTACCCTTAAGAAAGAGTCTATAATTTGAGTTTAAGGGGCAGAACTACACACACATAACTGCATAAATACATATGTAACACATTGTGATTGTTTAACTTATTGAGCATGGTCTTCTTGTAGCATGCAGAGTGAGAGGGCAATAGTTACTGAAATTGCTGGAACCACTCGTGATGTGATTGAAGCTGGTATCAGTGTCAGTGGCATTCCTATAAACCTTCTTGATACAGCAGGCATAAGGGATACTGATGACATTGTAGAGAAGATCGGTGAGGCTTTCTTTTTCTTCCTTAAGTTCAGGACATGCATAGTTTTCTAAATTTTTATGGATTTTAAAGTGTCCCATTAAATGTGATGTTATAGTGCATGTAACTCGTTTGAATGCAGGTTTTTTTAATGACTTCACACAATAATTCAATCTTCTATGATAATATATCATTAGCAACAGAATAATTTTATATAGGCTTGCAAATGATTATCACTTGTTTGAAGCGTAGTTTAAATGGAAGACCCGGAAAATCAGTTAGGGACAGGGTTATAGACTTTGCCTGATTCGTCTTGGCAATAGTTATGGTTGTCAATTTCGAGTGGCAACTCGTAATAACTACTGAGTTTATGAGATTGGTCAACCTCACCTATACAATTCGAAAGCAAACTCGTTTTTGAGTAATCTCGTTCAATCTTGTGAGTTTGCTCCGAATTTGCAAGATTACAGGAGCTCACTTAAAAAAACTCCCAAAACGAGCTTTTCACTTAAGGTTTTAACAAGTCTCACTTGGAGACGTCTCCCACTCTCCGCATTTCACATTGTCAACCTCATTTCTCTTCACATTTGATTTCGTTCTCTCCGCATGTGTGCGTTCTCTCCTTGCGCGTTCATTCCCTTTGTGTGCATTCGTTCTCTCTGGTTGCCTCCGTGGTGAAGGTTTAGGGTTGTTGTTTCCCTTTGGTTGAAGTCAAGGTCGAGCTGTGGGTTTCTGGAGTTCTCATGGTGAAGGTTCTTTCCCCCTTTTTCTCTCTTCTTCATGTCCCATTTTTTTGTACTCAATCCAAAAATACACTTATATTATAATAGTTAATATTTGTTAGAAATCATGTTTGGGATTGGATCAAATTCTTCCAGTAATGTAGCTGCCTCCTCTGTTGCTAAAAGCAAAATGTTCCAGGAAATAGATAAGATATTGGGTGGAAACACAGGACAGATGTTCGGGGCAATGCAAGAAAAGTAAAATGTAACTATTGCTCAAAGATTGTGAGTGGAGGAATTACTAGATTCAAGCATCTTCTTGCTCGGACTAGAAAAGATTCAAAGCCTTGTGCCATGTTGCCTAAAGAAATTGCTACTTTAATATTGTAATTTGCTATTTTACTTTAATGCGGAATTGGAATGTTGAGTTATTATGTTATTTATAAGTATTATAATATATTTTTTATATTAAGTAACCTCTTATGAGTTTATGGAAGCTCAACGAAATTACCTAAACTCTCGATATCGACAACCTTGAATAGTTAGATGTATCTTGTTGCATGCATTTTGGTGTTTTGCTTCTTAATTTAGCCTCATTACTTCACAATTCACATGTACTGAGATGTTTATTTCTATTTTATTACTAGGCGTAGAGCGATCAGAAGCAGTTGCTAGGGGTGCTGATTTAATTATCATGACTGTGAGTGCCGTTGAAGGGTGGACATCTGAAGACACCAAACTTCTTGAAAGGATTCAATCTGCTAAGGTTTGACCACATAATGATATTTAATATTATTTTGATAAAGATAGCAATATAAACCTTTTATTTGACATTTGACAGAAATATTTGCATCATTTGACATTTGATAGAAATGTAAATATCAAGATATCTGTGATGCCTGGGAAGCACCAAACTAGATAGGTTATTGCTAATATATCCTTAATATATCATATCGCGGGATAAATTGGCATACAAACACTTGGCTGCCTAAAATTTTGTCATCCTATAGTTACCAGTTACAACAACAAGAATAAAAGCCTTTTTCTGCTTGGTGGGATCAATTGCATGGATTTTAAAACCAAGTCTCCATAAGGGCCGTGTAGATCTTAGTTATTCCCTAAAATTGACATTCTAATGATCGTATAGGATAAGGCTCTTAAACATTTTAAATACTACATTACACCTGTTATCTTTCTATTGTAAAACAGGGATCAACTGGATCATCCACCCCAGTAATCCTTGTGGTCAACAAGATAGATTGTAAACCTTGTGCTGAGACTGAATGGGACAAAGGATGTCACAGTCATAATATTTTCAGTAAACATGTGTTTACATGTGCTGTCACTGGTCAAGGATTAGAAGAGCTAGAGAGGGCAGTATTACAGATTGTGGGTCTTGAAGGCATTCCT